CTGGCTTTTCTACAGGAGTAGGAATCTTTTAGAAGATTTTAGTTTGAGAATTTGAACACCCTGTCTGGTACATGGGAGGTGAGCAGTGACTATTTATAGAATCAGCTGCTGTTTGGATAATCTGAAATCTGCATAGTGGGCTCCATGAACCTCAAGTTCATGTTTTTTGCTCATTTTGCGGCATCTTGTTTTACTCATCCTGCATAGAAGCAGGACCCATTAATTGCCGGTAGCTTTTCAGCTAGGGGTGGGAACCCTATGAGAGGTCCCCCCCCCCATCCATGTTGCCGTATCAATTATCTACTAACCATCCACTTAGCACTTAAAGCTCACCAGGCTTGGTGCTGGCACCAAGAGCTGCCGAGGACACACCCTTTCCCAGGAAGGGGGAGCTGGTGCTTGGCAAAGGAGAGAAATGTAGGTGTCGCAGGGGACTCCAACACCAGAGCAGGTACATGGCGGATAAGGCCAGTCCCTCTGGGGTCCTGGGGGGAGGGTTTGGGGAAGAGATCATTGTCGAGCTTGTGTTTGAGATAGACGCAGGAGACGGTGCCTGCTCTGAGGTCTGCATGTCTAGGATGTGCCGATTTTCTGATACCGCATGAAGTGTCTGATCTGTGTTCGCTGCAGGACCAGGAGGCATGTCCCTGGCCAGGATGACTCTTCCTCTCTTAGCAACCATTACTTGCCTGTGGTTTTTTTTTATTCTAGGCACAGGTCCTATGACGTTTCTCCCATTCATGTTGCCATGTCAGCTGGTGTCACTGTGCAGGTCTGGTTTAGGTGGCCACACTGTTGGATACAGCTCCATGTTGTATATAGAAAACACGATCTCATGGCAGACGGCCCGGTTTTCTGGCTCTGACAATCCTTCTACCCCATCTTCTATAATGTTCCCTGAGTATCAGAGGTTGTGTTGTAGATATTCCAATTGGGACTGGCTGCCTGTCTTAGGGTTTCTGTTGCTGTGAAGAGACACTCTGAATAAGGCAACTTTTATAAAGGAAAACATTTCATTGGGGGCTGGCTTACAGAGGTTTAGTCCATTATCATCATGGTGGAAATCATGGTGGCATGCAGGCAGACATGGTGCTGGAGAAGCAATGGAGAGTTTTACATCAAATCTGAAAGGAGCAGGAAGAAAGAATGACATTGGGCCTGGCTTGAGCATTTGAAACATCTAAGTCCAGCCCCAGTGACAACACTTCCTCCTACAAGGCCACACCTACTCTAACAAGACCACACCTACTCTAACAAGACCACACCTACTCCAACAAGGCCACACCTACTCCAACAAGACCACACCTACTCCAACAAGGCCACACCTACTCTAACAAGGCCACACCTACTCCAACAAGGCCACACCTCCTCCAGCAAGGCCACACCTACTCTAACAAGACCACACCTACTCCAACAAGGCCACACCT